GTGACCCTGTCGAGGCCTTGGTCGCTCTCTGGAATGGGGAGATGGCCAGGGCAATTGACATGATCGCTCCGGAACGTCCCCTCTCAAGTAGCCGAGCTAAACCAGCTCCTTGGTTTACTGAGGAGCTGGCAGTGATGAAGCGAAGGAAGAGGGAACTAGAGAGCGTGTGGCGTTCGGATCCGAGCGAGTCAAATCGAACACGGTTTGTGTCCTTTCTAAGGGCATATGCCGCGGCAATAAAAGCCGCAAAGAAAACTTTCTTTGTGGCCACTATTGCGTCTGCAAGGAACTGTCCGGCGGAGTTGTTCCGGATTGTCAGAGGTCTTTTAACTCCCGCCACCCCAGGCGGGAGCCCTGACAATTCGGCCTCGCGCTGCGAAGCATTTGCTCGGTTCTTTGCAGACAAAGTCGCCTTGATCCGTTCTGGGCTGGACACCATGTTAAATGCAGTCTCTGAGGATGTGACACGAGCACCTGCTTGTCCTATTTTGATGGATTCTTTTCAGTTTGTGAAGCCCGAGGATGTGGACAAGATACTTGGAGGAATGAGGCCCACCACGTCCATCCTAGACCCCTGCCCATCCTGGCTTCTGAAGGAGGCCAGAGGGGGATTGGCCGAGTGGGTATCGGTGGTGGTTAATGCCTCCCTTCGGGAAGGCAAGATTCCAGCAAGCTTAAAACAAGCTATTATAAAACCGCTGTTGAAGAAACCATCATTAGACCCCACTAAATTTGACAACTTTCGGCCTGTTTCCAATCTCCCCTTTTTGGGCAAAGTCATGGAAAGCGTGGTGGCCTCACAACTCCAGGTATTCTTGAGAGACACGGATTATCTGGATTCGGCACAGTCTGGTTTCAGACCGGGACATGGAACCGAGACGGTCTTGGTCGCCTTAGTGGATGATCTGCGCCGGGAGCTAGACAGGGGGAGTGTGTCCCTGTTGGTACTCCTGGACCTCTCAGCGGCCTTCGATACCATCGACCACGGTATCCTTCTGGGGCGCCTTGCGGAAATGGGCCTTGGGGGCACTGTTTTGCAGTGGCTCCAGTCATTTCTGGAGGGTCGCACCCAGAAGGTGTTATTGGGGGACACCTGTTCAACACCACAGCCTTTGACCTGTGGGGTTCCACAGGGCTCTATACTGTCCCCCATGCTGTTTAACATCTACATGAAGCCGCTGGGGTGAGATCATCCGGAGTTTCGGGGTGCGGTGTCATCTGTACGCAGATGATGTCCAACTCTGTCACTCCTTTCCACCTGCTACTAAGGAGGCTGTCGAGGTACTGAACCGGTGCCTGGCCGCTGTAATGGTCTGGATGAGGGCGAACAAACTGAAATTAAATCCAGACAAGACAGAGGTACTCCTGGTCAGTCGCAAGGCCGAACAGGGTATAGGGTTACAGCCTGTGCTGGATGGGGTCGCACTCCCCTTGAAGGCGCAGGTTCGCAGCTTGGGTGTGATCCTGGATTCATCGTTGAGCCTGGATCCCCAGGTTTCAGCGGTGACCAGGGGAGCATTTGCACAGCTTAGGCTCGTGCGCCAGCTGCGCCCGTACCTTGGGAAGTCTGACTTGGCCACGGTGGTACACGCTCTGGTCACATCCCGCCTTGACTACTGCAACGCTCTCTACGTGGGGCTGCCCTTGAAGACGGCCCGGAAGCTTCAGCTAGTCCAGCGCGCGGCAGCCATGTTACTAACGGGAGCGGGACGCAGGGAGCACACAACGCCCTTGTTGTTCCAGCTCCACTGGCTGCCGATCTGCTACCGGGCCCAATTTAAGGTGCTGGTGTTGGCCTACAAAGCCCTAAACGGTTCCGGCCCAAAATACCTTTCTGACCGCATCTCGGCCTATGAGCCCACGAGGGCCTTGAGATCGTCTGGGGAGGCCCTTCTCTCGATCCCGCCTGCCTCACAGGCACGTCTGGCGGGGACGAGAGATAGGGCCTTCTCGGTGGTGGCCCCCCGGCTGTGGAACACCCTCCCTGTAGACATCAGACAGGCGCCCTCCCTTATGTCATTCCACAAGAGCCTAAAGACATGGTTATTTGAGAAGGCGTTTAACTAAGTGCTACACCAATTGGCAATGACGACTGGAACGGAATATGGATTACGAGATTGGTTTATGATTCTACAATGAGACGGCGCGGATGAGTTAGTGTAATTATATTGTTGTTGTATTACTGATAGTTATGTTATTTCGTTGTGCTATTGCTTTATTGTAAACTGTTTTTTATATGTTGTACACTGCCGTGAGTCGCCCTAGGGCTGAGAAAGGCGAACAAATGCAGTAAATAAATAAATAAATAAATAAGTTTTCTGAAACTCCCTGCCTTTCTCCATTATCCAGCGGATATTGGCAATCTGGTCTCTCGTTCCTCTGCCTTTTCTAAACCCAGCTTGAACATCTGGTAACTCTCTCGCTCCATGTATTGCTGGAGCCTTCCTTGCGGGATCTTGAGCATTACCTTACTGGCATGAGAAATAAGGGCCACTGTACGGAAGTTGGAGCAGTCTTTTGCATTTCCCTTTTTTGGTATGGGGATATAAGTTGATAAGATGATTCATAACAGCAGCAAAATTACAGTTGTGAAGTAGCAAAGTAAATAATGTTATGGTTGTGGGTCACCACAACATGAGGAACTGTATTAAGGGGTCACGGCATTAGGAAGGTTGAGAAACACTGAGTTAACCAGTTAAAATTCATAAGTTATTTATTTCTCGTGTCAGGGCAGCCAGTCAAATATATTACATTTCTAATGGAACAAAGCAAACAAACAGAGAGAATACAAAACGTGTGAGTTTGGTAGTTGATTAAATGTCCTTTGACCAGTATCTGGCCACTTGGAGTGCCTCTGGTGTTGCTGCAAGAGGTTCTCCATGTTGCATGTGGCAGGGCTCAGGGTGCATTGCAGCAGGTGGTCTGTAGTTTGCTCTTCTCCGCACTCGCATGTCGTGGATTCCACTTTGTAGCCCCATTTCTGAAGGTTGGCTCTGCATCTCGTGGTGCCAGAGCGCAGTCTGTTCAGCGCCTTCCAAGTCGCCCAGTCTTCTGTGTGCCCAGGGGGAAGTCTCTCATTTGGTATCAGCCATTGATTGAGGTTCTGGGTTTGAGCCTGCCACTTTTGGACTCTTGCTTGCTGAGGTGTTCCAGCGAGTGTCTCTGTAGATCTTAGAAAACTATTTCTTGATTTAAGTCGTTGACGTGCTGGCTGATACCCAAACAGGGGATGAGCTGGAGATGTCTCTGCCTTGGTCCTTTCACTATTGGTTGCTACTTCCCGGCGGATGTCAGGTGGTGCAATACCGGCTAAGCAGTGTAATTTCTCCAGTGGTGTGGGGCGCAGACACCCTGTGATAATGCGGCATGTCTCATTAAGAGCCACATCTACTGTTTTAGTGTGGTGAGATGTGTTCCACACTGGGCGGAGTAGCATAGCGCAAGGGCAGATGTCTTCACTGTATCTGGTTGTGATCCCCAGGTTGTGCCAGTCAGCTTTCGTATGATATTGTTTCTGGCACCCACTTTTTGCTTGATGTTCAGGCAGTGCTTCTTGTAGGTAAGAGCACGGTCCAGAGTGACTCCCAGGTATTTGGGTGCGCTGCAATGCTCCAGTGGGATTCCTTCCCAGGTGACCAATAGGATTTTGGCCTGCATCAAGAGGAGCCTAGTGTCTAGGTCCAGGGAAGTCCTGCTACCCCTCTATTCTGCTTTGGTTAGACCACACCTGGAATATTGTGTCCAATTCTGGGCACCACAATTCAAGAGAGATATTGACAAGCTGGAATGTGTCCAGAGGAGAGTGACTAAAATGATAAAAGGTCTGGAGAACAAGCCCCATGAGGAGCGGCTAAAGGAGCTGGGCATGTTTAGCCTGAAGAAGAGAAGGCTGAGAGGGGATATGATAGCCATGTATAAATATGTGAGAGGAAGCCACAGAGAGGAGGGAGCAAGCTTGTTTTCTGCTTCCTGGAGACTAGGACGCGGAACAATGGCTTCAAACTACAAGAGAGGAGATTCCATCTGAACATGAGGAAGAACTTCCTGACTGTGAGAGCCGTTCAGCAGTGGAACTCTCTGCCCCGGAGTGTGGTGGTGGCTCCTTCTTTGGAAGCTTTTAAACAGAGGCTGGATGGCCATCTGTCAGGGGTGATTTGAATGCAATATTCCTGCTTCTTGGCAGGGGGTTGGACTGGATGGCCCAGGAGGTCTCTTCCAACTCTTTGATTCTATGATTCTATGATCTTCAGAGCTCGGGATGCTTGTCTGTTCTTGAGATGAAAGGCACATCTCTGTGTTTTAGATGGGTTGGGGATCAGCTGGTTTTCCCTGTAATAGGCAGTAAGAGCACCTAGAGCTTCGGAAAGCTTCTGTTCTACCAACTCAAAGTAAAACAGTTTTTTTTAACCTGAAATATTTTGGGGGTGGTTTGAACAACCCAAAATATTGAAACCGCCGGTTTGCTGGTGAGCAGAATGCAGTCCTGTTATCAAACCCTGAGCCTCCCTCCCCGCTCCTTCCCCTCAGATTGGGGAGACGTGTTTGGCTTGGCAGGAGGACACACTGCGCAGGCGCAAGCGCGGGACATCTCCCCCCCCCCTTCTTTCCAGTGGAAAAGCTTTTGGACGCTGGCAGGGGATCACCTTCTCCTTTCCCTGCCTCTGCGTCTCCCCCTCCCCGGCTGTTCTGTAATCTCGGCGTCACCCCCGCTCCCCGCCCGCTTTGACTGTGTTGTCAACGGGTCGGGCTGATTATTATCATTCTTATTCGCCACGAAAACCTGCCTTTTGTCTCCCCGCCCGCGCTTTTTGGATGGAGGCACTGAGGGATTAAGGGTCCCTCGAGCGCGTGCGTGGTGGTCTCGTGAGGCAAAGGAGGGCGGAGGATGGACGGCGCAGGGAGACCGCTGGAGCCCAGTCGGCGGGGCTATCCTGCGCCCGCCTCTCTGGCCCTGGGCGCGAGGGAGACTCCTCTCTCCTGAGGGGAATCTCTCTCTCTCTCTCTCTCTCTCTCCCCCCCTCTCTCTCTCTCTCTCTGCTGTGCGTGCGACGCCTTCGCTGTTGGGTTGCCTCAGTTGACTGCTGCTCTCTTTTTCTGCCCGGCTGTGACAGCGGGCAAAGCTGGCACTTTCCCGCCCTTCCTCACCTTGTTTCTCTCATGAGAGGAACAATAGCGGCAGCCGAGGCGGCGACGGCGGCGGCAGCGGAGGGGCCTCTCTTCCCTGGGGTTTATGAATGGCCCTGACATGGAGGAAATACCGTTTCAGAAGATCAAGAAGAGCAAGAAGGCGAGGAAGAAGTGCTGCCGCTATTGCTGCTGCTCCTCCTCGTCGGCTGGGCCACCACAGCAGCAGCAACCACAACCACAGCAGCCACCCCCAGCCCCTCCGGCCGCCGGGAGTGCTGCCCCTGCGCCTCCTCGCCGCCAGCTGCTGCTGGAAGGCCTGGCCTGCGAGGACCAGTTCGACTGCAAAGAGCTGGAGTCGCTCTTCCAGAACTACAACCTGAAGCTGGAGCAGACCTCGACGCTGAAGGCGCTGGCCGTGCTGATCGTGCTGACAGCCAGCCTGGCGCTGGTGGAGCTGCTCTCCGGGCCCAGCCTGACCATCTCCAAGGGCTCCCACCCGGTGCACTGCATCATCTTCCTCTCCCTCTTCATCGTCACCAACGTCAAGTACCTGCAGGTCACCCAGCTGCAGCAGATCGTCAAGCTCACGCTGCTCTTCAGCTTCACCTTCGCCTTCCTCTGCTGCCCCTTCTCCCTGGGTGCCTACGGCGCCGAGCCCCCCAGCGCCCCCGAGCAGGGCATGTGGCAGCTCATGCTGGTCACCTTCGTCTCCTACTCCCTCCTGCCCGTCCGCATCCTTCTGGCCGGCCTCTTCGGCCTGGTGGTGGCCCTCTGTCACCTCATCGTGGCCGCCGCTTCGGTCAGTGCCAAGAGGCAGCCCCTCTGGAGGACGGTGAGTGAGCCCTGCGCCGTGCCTTATTGTTATTTATTTATTAACAGCATTTATATTCCGCCCTTCTCATCCCGCAGGGGACTCAGGGCGGATAACAGTGTACACATATATGGCAAACATTCAATGCCAATTTTGACTTACAACCAGAGGGGCCATAGGTAATTTTCAATGGTAAGCAAACAATATTCCCCCCACCCAGGGGCGGCTCAACCCATTACGCAAAGTAAGCATTTGCAGTATAATTGATTTCGCCCAGGGGCGCTCTTGAAGCACTCTTGGGGGAAAATAGACCTTGACATATGCGAGTTGTAGTTACTGGGATATATATTTTCTGTTCATCATGGGAGTTCTGTGTGCCATATTTGGTTCAATTCCATCATTGGTGGAGTTCAGAATGCTCTTTGATTGTAGGTGAACTATACATCCCAGTAACTACAACTCGCATATGTCAAGGTCTATTTTCCCCAAGAGCGCCTCAAGAGCGCCCTGGGCAAAATCAACTATACTGTGAATGCTTACTTTGCGTAATGGGTTGAGCCGCTCCTGCTTACAACATATACAGACATACGAGGCTATTTAACTTTTTCTGGCCGCCAGGGGAGCTGTCGCTTTCATCGTCCATCTGCGACACTGTTGAAGTACTTCCGCATTCCCCACATGCTTTTTTGCTGGAGTGCTATGCTGGAATCTTTTTTATGGCCTCATAAATTAGTTATCTTAGCCTCCCCACACTTTAAGGTGGTATCTAATTTTCCTACTGTCTTTTGGGTTGCAAAGGTCGACAACAGGCTACACAATTGGTTGGAAACCCATTCCAACCCGGGCTGGCTTCAAACTCATGACCTTTTGGTCAGAGTGATCTTAATGCAGCTGACAATCAGCCAGCTGCGCCACAATCACAGTGCCTTGCATCCTTATCGTTACTCTTTATTTATTTATTTGCGACACTTGTATACCGCCTTTCTCAGCCTATTGGCGACTCAAGGCGGTTTACAAGTCACTACACATAATAGCAAAATACAGATTAAGCATTAAAACAATATAAAGCAGCCCCTTTGGAGGACCGTGAGTGAGCCCTGCGCCCTGCCTTGCATCATTATCGTTACTATTAATGTATTTATTTATTTACTACACTTGTATACCACCTTTATCAGCCTATCGGCAACATGTAATAAGTTAGGAAAAACCTAATTAAGAGCTGATTTAAAATCTCGGGTGAGATAAAGAAGGAGCAGATTATTTGCAGCCCCTCTGGAGGATGGTGAGTGAGCCCTGCGCCCTGCCTTGCCTCCTTATCGTTACTCTTTATTTATTTATTTGCTACACTTGTATACCGCCTTTCTCAGCCTATCGGCAACTCAAGACGATTTACAACAAGTTACTACACATAATAGCAAAATACAGATTAATCATTAAAACAATATAAAGCAGCCCCTCTGGAGGATGGTGAGTGAGCCCTGCGCCCTGCCTTGCATCCTTATCGTTACTATTTATGTATTTATTTATTTATTACGCTTGTATACCGCCTTTCTCAGCCTATCAGCGACGCAAGGTGGTTTACAAGTTGCTACACATAATAGTAAAATACAGATAAAGCATTAAAACAATATAAAACCACAATAAAAACAATAGAAACAATAAAACCAACATCAATTATCATCAGCGTCTCCTAGTTAAAGCGTTGTCCAAATTCCATTGTCAAGTGATTCAATTTACTATGTCAGTTACTCTGCATTTGTAAACGCTTGCTCATATAACCGTGTCTTAATTTGTCTCCGAAACGTTCGGAGCGAGGGAGCCGATCTAATCCCCTTAGGGAGGGTGTTCCATAGCTGAGGGGCCACTACAGAGAAGGCCCTGTCTCTCGTCCCCACCAAACGTATTTGTGATGAAGGTGGGATCGAGAACAGGGCCTCTCCTGACGATCTTAAAGTCCTAGATGGACTATAAAATCAGAGAGTTGGGAGAGACTCCATGGGCCATCTGGTCCAACCCCCTGCCATGCAGGAAGGCACAGTCAAAGTATTCCAAACAGATGGCCATCCAGCCTCTGTTTAAAATTTTCCAAGGAAGGAGCTTTTGCCATGCTCCGAGGCAGAGAATCCCACTGTTGAACAGGAACTTCTTCCTAATGTTCAGGTGGCATCTCCTTTTCTATAATTTGAACCCATTGTTTCTAATCCTACTTTCAATTGCAGCAGAAAACAAGCCTGCTCCCTCTTCCTTACGACACCCTTTCACATATTTATACATGGCTATCATGTCTCTTCTCAGCCTTCTCTTCTGCAGGCTAAGGTGTTTACAATCTAGTCAGGGGTATGCTGTGGTTTTTAACTTTGAATTTGTTTTAATGGTTCTTTAAGGCGCTCATAGGGTTTCATGGTCTCCAGACCTTTGATCCTTTTAGTTGCTCTGGATACCTTCCAGCTTGTCAATATCACTTTTGAACTGTGGTGCTCAGAATTGGACACAGTATTCCAAGTTAGGTCTAACCAAAGCAGAATACAAAGGCATCATGACTTCCCTTGATCTAGACCAGCTTTTCTTAACTTGAGGGTCGGGACCCCTGGGGGGTTGTGAGGGGGGGGGGTGTCCAAAGGGTTGCCAAAGACTGTCAGAAAACACAGTATTTTCTGTTGGTCATGGGGGTTCTGTGTGGGAAGTTTGGCCCAATTCTGTTATTGATGGGGTTCAGAATGTTCTTTGATTGTAGGTGAACTATAAATCCCAGCAACTACAACTTCCAAATGTAAAATCTACTTTCCCCAAACTCCACCAGTGTTCATGTTTGGGCATATTGAGTAGTCGTGCCAAGTTTGGTCCAGATCCAACATTGTTTTAGTCCACAGCGCTCTCTGGATGTAGGTGAACTACAACTCCAAAACTCAAGGTCAATGCTCAGCAACCCCTTCCAGTATTTTCTATTGGGCATGGGAGTTCTGTGTGCCAAGTTTGGTTCAATTCCATAATTGGAACAATTCCATCATTGAAACAAACTTCAGAATGCTCTTTGATTGTAGGTGAACTATAAATCCCAGCAACTACAACTCCCAAATGACAAAATCAATCCCCCCACCCCACCAACTCCACCAGTATTCAAATTTGGGTGTATCGGGTATTTGTGCCAAATTTGATCCAGTGAATGAAAATACATCCTGCATATGAGATAGTTACATTACGATTCCTAACAGTAGCATAATTACAGTTATGAAGTAGTAACGAAAATTATTTTATGGTTGGGGTCACCACAACATGAGGGACTGTATTAAAGGGTTGCAGCATATAGATCTAGATACTATACTCCTTTCGATGCAGCCCAAAATCCCATTGGCTTTTTTAGTTGCTGCATCACACTGTTAGCTCATGTTCAACTTGCTGTCCATGAAGACTCCAAGATCTTTCTCACATGGACTGTTGTCAAGCCAGGCATCACTCATCCTATATCTTTGCATTTCATTGTTTCTGCCTCAGTGTTCAACAATTTCACTGTTGAACAGCTCCTATGTTCAGGAAGTTCTTCCTAACATTCAGGTGGAATCTCCTTTCCTGTAATTTGAACCAACTGCTATTATTATTATATTTATTTATACCCGGTTGTATTATTATTATTATTATTATTATTATTATTATTATTATTATATTTATATCTCGCTTTATCTCCCCCAAAGGTGACTCAAAGTGGCTATAAAAATATCAGCATAACTGATTAAAATATACAAAAGTATGAACATTAAAACAGAATTAAACATAAACAGTATCTAAAATTCCCATTAAATCAATGTATTGATTCAAGTAACCCAGATAGGGGTGGGAGGGAGGTGGGAAGATGGTGGTATGGGTGGGTGGGTGGGATGGGGGGTTAGCAATTAAGATATACGGTAAAGGGAAGCACAATTGGAACTTGTATCCTAGCCATAAAAATTGTAAACAGTTTTTATGTTATCTTTTAGATGGCTAAGGTTCATAGTGTATTGTTTTTTATTTATTTATTTATTTGGTTTACTTTTACCCCGCCCTTCTCACCCCGAAGGGGACTCAGGGCGGCTTACATATCCAAGGGCGGCTTACATATCCATTGTTTTGTTATCTGTATGAAGAAATTAATTAAAAAAAATTAAAGTTAAAAACTATTCAAACAAATTCAAAGTTAAAAACCACCGCACCCACCTGACTATTTATTTATTTATTATTTACAGTATTTGTATACCGCTTTTCTCACCCCGAGGGGGAACTCAAAGCAGTTTACACATAAGTAATGGCAAAAATTCAATTCCAGTACAAACAATTACAATTACACACTACAGTTAGACATAAATTAAATTTAAAAATACATCCATGAGCAATAAAACAATCATTAAAACAATAAAACAGTCTCGTCCATTGAATCGCCATTCCAGTCATTGTCTTTCCGAAATGCTGCATACATTTACTTCTACTGCCCGAAGGCCTAGTCCCAAAACCATGATTTTGTTTTCTAAAAGCCAGGAGGGATGGAGTGGATCTTACCTCATTTGGGAGTGTGTTCCCTAGGCGGGGGGCCACAGTTGAGAAGGCCCTGTCTCTTGTCCCCGCCAGGCGCATCTGTGATGTTGATGGGAGCAAGAACAGGGCCTTTCTGGATGATCTTAGATTACGAGGTAGGACGTAGGGGTGGATGCGTTCGGACAAGTAAGCTGGGCCAGAACCGTATAGAGCTTTATACATCAAAATCAGATTAAATTGTAAACACCTTTTTTTCCTCTTTTTTATGCACTATAAAACTTCTATACTACATTATTTTATTTTAACCCTGATGTATATATAATATAATGATAAATAACATTGAAAAAAAAGATTGTAAACACCTTCTTCTTTAAAATCCTGCCTGAATAAAAAGGTTTTAGCCTTCTGCCAAAAGGACAGCAGGAAGAAGACTGTTCTGGCTTCCCTGGGAAGAAGAGAGTTCCAGCGTTGAGGGGCAGCCACTGAGAAGGCCTGCTTTTTCATTCTCACCAATTGAG